GGAAAGGAAAACACAGTTCTGAGGAAATATCTGATGCTTCAGAAATCTTAGGAAATCTATTCCCTCTCCATGACACTGCAAAGCAGCATGGGGATGTTCTATGGAGAAAGCTGAGGCTTCTTTCCAACGTCACTTCCCCAGCATTTGTTCACTGGGAAGCCTTCTCCCAAGCAGAGGATTTCAGCCATGTGTTCTGCTTGTTGAAAGCCATCCTGGCAGCTCTGGCAAAAAGCATTTTCCAGGGAACGGCTATGGTAGAGAAGTTGCTGCTGCTCTCGCATGCAATCAACCATCATGAGATGTAAGGACTATGGATTATGTTGGGTGGTGAAGGCTAGTCCTCCTAGATCTCTGCAGACCATGGATTTTCCCTTGTCCTCCCTGTCTCGAGCTCTTCTCTGAGGCTGTGAAGGAGCAAACTCTCTTCCTTAATAGTGGCATAAGGAGGTGGGTCTGCTGGAAGGTCCTGGATGTGAGCAGCTCTAGACATGCTCCATCATTGCTCAGGAGGTCACTGCTCTGGAGGTGCCAACACCACCTTCAGAGATGAGATACCCCTAGATACCCCTAGAGAATCATAGAATCATTATGGCTGGAACAGACCTTCAAGATTATTGAGTCCAACCAAAGTCTTCAACACCATCCTGCTAAACCATGTCCCCAGGTGGTCCCTTAGAATCTACATGTTTCTTGAACACTGCCAGGGATGGTGACTCCATCACTGCCCTGGGCAACCCGTTCCCATGTTTCACCACTCTTTCTCTGTAGAAAGTTTTCCTAATATCTAACCTGAACCTCYGCTGGTGCAACTTGAGGCCATTTCCTCTTCTCCKATCTGTAGTTACTCTGGAGAGAAGAGGTCAGCCTCCACCTCATTACAACCTCCTTTCAGGTAGCTGTRAAGAGCAATAAGGTTCCCAATGATCCTCCTCTTCTCCACACTAAATAWCCCCAGCTCCCCACACTGCTCCTCATAAGGTCTGTGCTCCAGCTCTTCCACCAGCTTCGTTGTCCTTTGGACATGCTCCACCACCTCAATGTCCTTCTTGTAGTGAGGGGCCCAAAACTGAACACAATATTTGAGGTGCAGCCTCAGCAGCACCGAGCACAGGGGGACGATCCCTTTCTTGGTCCTGCTGGCCACACTATTCCTGATACCAGCCAGGCTGCTGTTGGCCTTCTTGGCCACCTGGGCTCACTACTAGCTCATGTTCAGCTGGCTGTTGACCAACATCTCCAGATCCTTTTCCTCCACATATCTCTCCAGTCACTCTGCCCCAAGCCTGTAGCATTCGCCTTGGGCCTGCCTGGATATCACACGATGAGTTGGGAGAGTCATGTAGGGATTCCTCCTGTTCAAACATTGCAGGGGAACAGGAGGTTGGAGCAATGGGTGGAAACCAGGCATGCAAGAGAGAGAAGGAAGGGGTTAAGTGCTTGGTCAGTGTCCCTGCAAATTCTTTACAAGGGGAACATTCTGGGGGCATTTGGGGCGCCGGTTCTTCCTGCTGAACCACTGGTTTCCCCCTCACAGAACTGCCTCAATAAGCAGCAGCTCCTGGCTGCCATCCGCCAGATGCAGCAGCTGCTGAAGGGCCAGGAGACCCGCTTCGCYGAGGGCATCCGCATGATGAAGAGCCGGCTGACCACGCTGCAGAACACCGTGACCAAAACTACTGCCCTGGAYGCACCTGCTGGTAAGAACATGGGCTGTCCATGGCATCAGCTCCAGCTTGGAGCAGCTTGCCAGGCTTCCTCCTGCACATCCCTCTCTCTTGGCCTCTACTCATTACTCGGTTCCTGYCCCTGTGAAGCACCTTAGGATCCTTTAGCTGGTGGTGGCTCTTTGTGCTGCTCAGCTAAACCACAAGTTATGGTCTGGAGAGATAAAAAGTGCTGGCATGGATCTAGAGGTGCCCGTGGGGCAGGACGAGGAGCCTGAAAGGACAGCAGATGTCTGTGGCTTCCCTGCCTGGCCTGTTTTAGGCTGCCCATGCTGAAGAATCAGTGCTAAACAAAGCAGACCCTCCTTGGGCTCTGTGTGAATAGACAGGCCTGTCCAGATGGTTTCATGTTACTCAACTCAAGCTCCTGCTGGCTGAGCTGAGYGAAAGAGGGTCTGCTGGCTGCCCCAAGCAGAGTTTAATCATGCASGTTGTTCAGTTTGCAGCCAGTGTAGCCCCTTGTATGACACCTCGAGCTGCTTTTATGGAATCAGAGGATTCCTGAGCACTGCAGGGAGCTCTGGAGGTCTCCGGYCCCCCATGCTCGGGGCAGAGCCAAGTAGATCAGGTAGCTTAGGGTTATGTCCAGCTGAGGTTTGGATATCTCCTTGTGCCCACTGCCTTGTGTCCATCCACTTTACACCTCTGCGAATCATCTAGTCCCATGTCTCCCATAGCCCTCCATTAGGCAGTGGAAGGTGCCAAGGGATCCYTCCTTTGCCTTCTTTTCACCAGGATATCAAACCTGGCTACCTCAGCCTCTTCTCTACACGGGCTGCTCCAGTACCCACCGTCTGGATGGCCACCACTGGACTTGCTCCAGTATGATGATGATTTTACTGTTGGCTGGGGGCAGGGAGGGAAGGGGCAGAACTGGACACAGTACTCCAGATATGGTCTCACAAGTGAGAATTGAGTATCTTGCAACTTTTCTTTTGGGATCCTTGAACATCCTCCCTCTCAAACATTTCCATAACACTGGCATTTGGAGCATTGTCATGGCTTTGCTCAGATTGAAACTTCACAGGAGCTCGTGTGTATTCTTGTATATCAGCAGATGAGCACCTGCACCTGGGGAGGAATAACCCCAGGTACCAGTACAGAGTATGGGTTGACCTGCTGGAGAGCAGCTCTGCAGAGAGGGACCTGGGAGTCCTGGTGGACAACTAGTTGCCCATGAGGCAGCAGTGCCCTCATGGCCCAGAAGGCCAATGGGATCCTGGCTGCATCAGGAGGAGTGTTGCCAGCAGGTCAAGGGGGATCCTGCCACTCTGCTCAGCTCTGGGGAGGCCAAACCTGGAGCAYTGGGTGCAGTTCTGGGCTCCCCAGGACAAGAGGGACGCAGAGCTTCTAGAGAGGGTCCAACAGAGAGTGACAAAGATGATTAAGGGACTGGAACATCTCTTGTATCAGSAAAGACTAAGTGAGCTGGGCCTGTTTAGCCTGGAGAAGAGAAGACTGAGAGGGGATCTTATCGACCTGTACAAATAYCTGAGGGGAGGATGTAAAGAGTACGGGGCCAAACTCGTCTCAGTAGTGGCCAGTGACAAGACAAGGGGTAATGGGAACAAACTGAAACACAGGTTCAGAAAGTTCCATCTCCATGTGRGGAAGAACTTCTTCCCTGTGAGGGTGACAGAGCCCTGGCACAGGCTGCCCAGGGAGGCTGTGGAGTCTCCTTCTCCRGGGATCTCGCAAACTCGCCTGGATGCGACCGGGTGCCCYGTGCTCTGGGTGTCCCTGCTGGAGCAGGAGGCTGGACTAGATGATCTCCAGAAGTCCCTTCATTGAGTTCAAACCTCCACCCTTCTGTAATTCTGTGATTCTGTGAGCCTCTTCCTATGCGGATTGAGGTGAGGGAAGCTCTATGTCTTCCTGTAACAGACACTGCTGCCAAGGGGCTCTGAGAAACGCTGCTTTCAAGGCTGGTATCGAGGAAAGTTGCTAGAGTCAGCTTTAAGTCTAGCTCTCCCTGGGATAAGATGCTCAATAAAGACAAATGGTCCTGCAGCTGGACCATTGCTGAKATAGGACTGATATGCATACATGCCYAAATACCACTTTTGCTTTTTCAACTGAGATGTGCCTTAATCTACCCTCACTGAGTTCTTTCACTCAGAAGGTGAGCAGCAGGCTTTGGGTGTTCAAAACCACGCTCTCCCGGCCCTGGGTACAAAGGCAGATATTTCCCATTTGGGCAAAAGGGGTTCAAAAGCAGGTGAACTCTCAAATATCGACAGCAGAGAGTGCTTTAACCACAGAGCATGAGCACAGTGACTGCTGAATTCTTCTCCTTTTCTGATAAATACTTGGCTCAAAGTCAAGCAACTYTCCAGCCTCGTAAGATACGGGAAGATTCAAGAGCTTCTGTTCAGACCATACAATTAGCTGCAAAGCAGAGAGCTCCTTGGAAGGGTATTGAGGAAGAGTAGGATGAAAAATTGCATCTGCAGCCAAAGACCCTTGGTTCCCCTGCCTGGATCATGAAACCTGGATGGTCAGCAGGAATGCCTCCCAGAAAGGGCAGAAACGTGCTGTTACAAATGTAGAGATGACTTTGGCTCAGCATCAGTTCAGGTAGTTGTAGGAAAAATCATTTAAGCAGTTGAGCARAGGAGTCTCCTCTTGCATGGGAAGACATCACTAGAAAACTAGACTGGCATGTGGTAAAAGGCTATTTTGTTTGATAGCACCCAACAGCTGTGATATCTGTGCAGGGTTTGTACATGAGACCAGGAGAATAAGGCAGTGGCACCACAGGACTCCTGGTGAAGCACAAAGATGGTGACGGTGGCACCTTTGCAGTGTTGAGGAGCAAACTCCCATCTTCCTGCTCCTTCACAGGCTGATGCAACTCTTTGGTCTTCAAAGGATTATGCAGATTCATGAATCACAGAATCACAGAACGGTTCATGTTGGAGGGGACCTCTAGAGATCATCTAGTCCAAACCCCTGTTCCAGCAGGGACACCTAAAGCATGGGGGCATAGGGCGGCATCCAGGCCTATGGTTTTGAAGATCTCCAGAGAAGGAGACTCCACAGCCTCCCTGGTCAGCCTGTTCCAGGGCTCTGGCACCCTCATAGTGAAGAAGTTCTTCCTCATATAGAGATGGAGCTGTCTGTGTTGCAACTTAGAGCAAGTCTATGATGGGTGGGTGGCTAAAAGGACCAAGAAGGCCTGTTCACTCGCACTACCTACTATAGGGCTGCCTATATATATATATATATSTGTGTGTATATATATCTATATCTTTGTGGGTTCCTCTTCAAGATTGGATGCTAACGATTTACCTCTGTATATGTTTGGAAAATAACAGAAAGAGCTGCAGAAGAGTAGAGCTAGTCTTGCACGCTGGAGGAAACTGGGTGAACTGCATCTCAGGTGACGTTGGGGACAGTCAGAACAAGTTGGTCTTATCTGAGAGCACTAACTGAACATTGCATGAGTTTCCTTCCTTCCTTCCTCCCTCCCTCCCTTCCTTTCTTCCTTCCTCCCTCCCTTCTTCCCTTGCTTCCTTCCTCCCTTCAATAAACCATGTGGCCGTGCCAGGACTCTAATAAAACAATTGGGCAGAACAGCAAATACTGGTCGGCAATGGGCACTGGGCCAACTGTTTGTGGCTGCTTGACTCCTTCCTGAGAACCTGTAAACCTTTACCCCAGTAACACCGATTTCCTTGTTTGATAGCAGGCCTTCTAGACCATGGTGAATGTTAACCCAGCAGGTTCACAAAGGACTTTCCCCACCTCCTAAGATGCCTGGATGGCAGGACAGGTGGAAAAGAGCAGAGTCCAGAAGACACAGGAGAGCTGTCAAATGCTAGGGCCGTTCCATTAGCGAGGAACAAGCTAAACCTGAGTAAGCCAGGTAGAAAGCCTCAGGAAGTCATGCTTTACCTGTTAAACTGACCCAAACTCTGCACGTGCTTCTTTCTTTTCCTCCTCCTATCTGTCAGGAGTCAGAACCCTGGAGAGCCAAGATGCAAGAGCTGTGGTCAGGTCTGCTACACCATTTCTTTCTCCTTCTTTGTGTGTGCCCTAGTGGCTCCCTTAGATCTCCTTAAATAATTCTGCTTGAGGCTGCACTGGGAGTGATGCCTGCAGGGATATTTGCAAATCAGGCACTTCATAAGCATCAGCACACTGCCATCGTCCCCCAGGGCAGTCTTCTCTTAGCTGTAGGGTAACTTTGCAGGTGGTTTTGAGACTGCTGATGGTAGGTGTTACAGCTTCTGGAGAGCTATTCCACCCAAGTTTTTAATGGACAGAGAGGAAATCCACCTCTGAGCAGGGTGGCAGGTGAATGAGGAGCATATGGATAGACTTTTCAGCACCTGAGTGATTCTCACTGCAGGATGATGGGTTGCTCAAAACAAGGGTGTTTGGTCGAATCCTCCTTCCATAGGCCCCCTGTTTGGGAAGCTACTGTGGAAGTTGCTCCCTGGGGTTATTTTGGGTGCTACTGTTATGCCAGGGACTCGGGTCAGTTCCTTCAGAGCTGATAAACTCTGTGGTGAGTAACTGCAAGCAAGAAGGATGAGAGCAATTCTGCACGCAGGCTGGTTGCCTACTTTGATGGCAAAGTAGTCTCTGTGAGATACCCAGACTCAGTGAAAGCTTTGACCTCCTATGCCCTCATTGATTTTATTAAAGGTTCGTGTCCTGCCGCTCATCTTCTGAGGTCAGGTGGTGGTGTGCTGGGTGGGTTCGCCTGAGCAGCACCATGCCCCCTCTGACTCCTGGATCGGATATTGCTTTCTCCATATGAGGCTCTTGGTGCTGATTGTCTCCAAATGTCACCAACTGGACCTTCTTGTCTCTCTCCCATAGAAACTGTACTATAATTTCCCCAAGTGTGCTCAGCTGTGTCTTTCTGTGGTGTACAAAGCAAGGCAGCAGCTTCTCTAATCTCACCTACTTCCCGTTGTCTCCCTAGAAGCACCTGCCTGTAGTATTTATCCCTCCGTGGTGCCTTTGCAGTGTCCTGCCCTGACCTACAAGCTCCCGTGGAYGGACAGAAGTTTGGTACGAAGTATTTGGTGGACCATGAAATCCACTTCACCTGCAACCCGGGCTTTGAGCTCCAGGGCTCCAGTACGCGGATGTGCCAGGCGAATGGCAGCTGGACTGGAGAGGAACCTCAATGCAAAGGTACTTCTTTTGATCTGGGGTTCGGAGACCTCCTCACTATGCAGGTCCTCAAGCAGTATATGTGGATATCTGCAGAAGAGGGGGCAAAAGGCCACATATAGAAGCTGATCTGCTACATGTTCTTCAGCTAGTTCTAAGCACCTGGTGTATGCACTGGCAATGCTGGCCTGGGAATCTAACACTTGCTTCCACGGCATTTGGGTCTTTGTGCTGCAGACCTTAAAGATCAGCAGCCTGGGGGTGCACAACACCATGGTTTGCCTTCTGCTCACAGCAGGTTTTATGAAATCAAGCATTCATTGCTGAGCTTTGATGGTCAGCACTGCTCCAAAAGTCATTCAGTATCTGCCTCCCTTTTGCACAGTGCATTTTGAGTGCTGGTAATAGGAGATGCTGCCCCATGCATCATATTTCTTGACGAGCTCAGGGTGCTTTGCTGCCCAGACAATGACTGTCCCATCTGTCTTCTTCTATTGGAAGAACATTGGAATGTTTCTCATTTTTGGTGCCAAGAGCTGATCATCTAAGCATAAAACAAGGCTCTAATAGGCAACTTACTTCATAATTAAAAATCAGTGCCTGGAAGTGGCTAGTACAGCCCAGTACAATAACTTCCTTCAAATGTCTGGCCAAAAATTTGCCTTACCATCTGTGTGGAGCAGGTTCAAACTGGAAAACAGGAATGCTGGATATAACTGCCTTACTAAGGATATAATTGCCTTACTAAAAATATTACCTAGGGAAAAAGTAGGTGAACAGCCACTCGGGTTAGTGCATTTGAACAGAAAAGGACTGTATAGTCTTGTTTAAGAGCACATTTTCCAAACTGACCAGGTAGATTGAAGCTGAAATGTCACCTGCAACATTTATTAATGCTCTGTCATTGATTTAGGCTCAAGRCAGTATGTCTGAGTCCTAATGCAGGCTCTATATGGGATCCTTTGCACCTGTTTATAACTGCCTAGATCTTCCCAAGGCAGCTCTTTGCCATGGCCATCTGCAAAGGCAGGATACTATTTTGGAAAGGGATTGCTGGGGTTCATCAAATGAATAGGTACTTCATTTGTCCCTGAGCTCCTAGGTACAAGCTCTGGGCAGGGTACGAAATTCAGAGACTCTAAGTCCTATATCCTTGACCCAGTCTCTTTGTCCCTGTGTTTGATTTCACCTTTGGGCTTCTGCTTTCTAACTTCCCAGTCAACCAAAGTCTTGCCATGGTTCTTAAAGCTCCCACTCTAAAGGTCTTCTGTTCCATGAGGTCCATTTTTCCAGCCATGGATCTGGAGGAAAGCTAGAAGTTAAATTGGAAGGTTAACCCAGAACTTCCTCCACAGAGATGAGGAGGAGAACAGAACATCAATTCTCCCTTTTAAGGAATTGGAATATCAATTAATTGTCCCTTTTAAGGTGGAGAGTTATTGCCTTGAAACAACTTGACGAGCCATTGGAAAGGGCAGGGCTGCTTGAAAACACATCTTAATAACAAAACCAAACCCACTTTCTTGTGCTTTGAGAGCAGATGGGATTGCAGCAAAGAACACTTTTTATAATGTTGTTTTTCTCAGAGATGGCTCTCTGTGATCAGTCAGTGCCTTGTGCTCCCAGCATGTATGATAAGCCACAGATGAAGCATGGATTATGTGCAGTTTGAGGCAGCTCTTGTTGAAATATTGGCAGTGGGTTGTGAAAACCCCCAGGAGAAATCCTGGAGATGTTCTGCCAACAGCACTGCCTGAAGCCTGTCATTCATGGGCAGCTCTGTTCTTTGTCCTGTTGCAGAGGAGGGTTGTGCTCTGCTTCAGAGAGCCTCTGTTGAGCAGWCCGTGCAGGCCCTCGCACAATTATTACAACCGCTTCCACTCCATGGAGGTTGGGCCTTGCAAAGACACCCTACTCTGCTGTCCAGCAAAGAAAGCCTTGTGCTAGGGAGGTGTCATGATGTCAGTGTTTTACATGCCCAGCTCTGGGTTTAGGCTTGCCTCCAAGGGACGTGGGGCTCTCCCAAGGTCAAAGAGGGAGGAGGTGAAACAACACTTCTTGCAAGCCTACAAAAATCATCCAGGTAGCAAACTCCTGGAAGGGCCTTGGGCTTTGTTTTGCTGCATGGCCTCAGTACTGGTAGCCATCATGTCTAGTAGCCATCTTTTCTAGTCATGATGAAATGCACTGATATTTTTATTTTTCACAAGTCATTGCACCAAGCCATGTGCACACAGAACTAGCAGGCAAACAAGTTAAGTGCCTTCCTCCATCATATCCAAATGTTGCATTGAGGCAGTGCCATAGAGGATGCAAAAGCCCAAGTCTGAGCTTGGTGTCTGCAAGCTCAAAGGCAATCTTTGTTCTACACAAAGCCCAGCTATGGGCATGACCTTTCCTGTAAGCAGCCTCCCTCCCCATTGTAAATATTCCCCTTTTCCTGTATTCCTGAGTGCTGGTGAGCCCTCAGGTGTTTGCAGGGTTAAAYTCACTTGGTACTAAGGCCCACACTGTTGTTTTCCCACGGCACATTGGCTTTCTTCAATGAAAGCACCTTGAGAAATCATCTCTGTCTTTCCAGACATGCTGACAGTCTGAACATGTAGGAAAAGAATAAGAGAAGCTGGGGATAGGGGCTGGGAGCTATTTAATCCTTTGGGCTTACTATAGCACCAAGGAAGAAAGGCTTCTTTGAGGCTGTTGGGATGAGCAAGTGCCTGGTTGCCAAACCCCTTGTGGCCTTCCCTGGAGGAATATGTGAGCAAGTCATGGCCTCCCAGCTCCTGGAACTGAGCCAAGGGACYTGTGTCTTGCGAGCAGCAAGACCGGGGCTGGAGGAGGAAGAGGAGGGGTGATGCTCTTTGTTTTCTTGTTCAGCAACTTTATGGTCCATCACTCCCATGATGTTTGGGTTTGCTACTGATGACACATCAGCCCAGCCTGTGGCAGGAGTGGGGGMTTTTCCTTTTCACAGGCTGGTTCCTTGCATTTCCCCATGACTGGTACCTTATGGGAAATACACCCTATGAACAGCTTAAAGCTGTTTTGATTCAGATTCCTCGAGAAGCTCTGCCYGGTCTGTTCCTGGAGAGGGCTCAGATTTGTTTTCCCACTGGGAAGGGTCCCTCCTCAGAGGGATTGGAGATGCTCCCACCCCTCCAATCCCACGGAAACACCAGCTGTAGCTAGAGATAAAATGGACAAGCAATTGGACACCCCAACCAAGAGCTATCCCTCCAAGGTCAGATGTTGGGTTGCTTCTCCTACAAAACACAACTAGGGGAGACCTGTCCTGCCRTAATAGCTCTCCAGAGGTGATGGTGCCACCTGTAGCCTGTGGAGACAAATCCTTTCCCATCTCTTCAACTGGAAGACTACATCTCCCATTTGAAGGCCAAGTCCACCAGGCTGGAATGTGCAGCTTTGAGGATTTCTTTGAGGATTTCTTCTTTCCTGCTTTATCCATATCACTCAAGTATTTGTCTATACCGCCTCTTGACTCTCAGCAGCGTGACACAACCAGGGTTGTCTTCTGAAAAGAGATGGCTCTTTCTCACGGCAGGTATCAGCAAATGCTCCAGTCACCCTTGCCAGAATGGTGGGACGTGCGTGGAGGGGCTGAACCGGTACGAGTGCCTCTGCCCCCAGGAGTGGAGTGGAACGAACTGCCAGTACCAAACGCAGACGGGTGCGTAGGTCACTTCCCCAGGGAAGCCGAGGGGAGCGAGGCCCAGMTGTGCCACCCAGAGGCTGCTTCCCCTTGGTCGAACCCCTTGGTGCTGTTTTGGCCTGTSGTGAGGTGTCAAGGCCTCCATCCTGCTGCCCCAGCTCCTGTGCTGTCCTGCCTCTGGRTGCTTCATGAGTCATGAGGCCGCTGAAAAGCACCCAAGGCCAATGCGAGCTGTGTGTGGCCTGGAAGGCAAAGGGGAATTCAAATTTCATTGAATCATAGAATCATAGAATGTGTAAGGTTGGAAGGGACCTCAGAGGTCATCTAGTCCAACCCCCCTGCTCACACAAGGTCACCTAGAGCACATGGCACAGGGCTGCGTCCAAGCGGGTTTTAAAGATCTCCAAAGGAGGAGACTCCACAACCTCTCTGGGCGGCCTGTTCCAGGGCTCTGTCACCCTCACGGTCAAAAAGTGTTTTCTCAAGTTCCTGTGGAACTTTTGGTGCCTCAGCTTGWGGCCGCTTCCTCTAGACCTAGGGGACTAGGGAATTTCAGGGGAGCAGGAATTGTGATGAAAGCTCATGTGGGACAGAAACACGGGAACTGTAAACAAGCGGAAGGGCTCTCTCTAAAAACGCTTTCCTGGCACATTTTGAGGCCCACTTCAAACCCAGGTCCCTGCGACCAAGGCYGTTTGAGGCACGGAGACAGAGCGTTACGGAAGCGTTGGTGCTCGCTCCCGTGCCCTGGGTGGCCGCAGAGCTGTCCCCCTTTTCCCCCCTAGCCCCACCGGCGCAGAGCGTCACCAGCGACTCGGCCTTCAGCCGCCGGCCCCGCTGCGCCAAGACGGAGCGGAGCCAGCACTGCAGCTGCGAGCCGGGCTTCCACATGAGCGGCACSGTGGACGACGGCCTGTGCCGGGGTGAGCAAGGGCCGCTCGGCGCCGCACCGAGCACGGCCGCGGGCCGCCCGCCTCGAGCGCCGCTCGCCTCCGCTTCCTCCCCGCAGATATCGACGAGTGCGAGGTCTACAGGCTGGACGGGGGCCCTCGCCTCTGCGTCCATCAGTGCGTCAATGTGCCCGGCTCCTACCGCTGCGCTTGCCCCCGTGGCTACAACCTCCTCGGCGATGGAAAGAGCTGTGAAGGTGAGGTCCCCGTCAAGGCTTGGTGTCCTTTGTAGGCGAGGATTCTTCTAGGATGTGTGTGGGGAAGGTGAGGTCCCTGTCAAGGCTTGGTGTCCTTTGTAGGCGAGGATTCTTCTAGGATGCGTGTGGGGAAGGTGAGGTCCCCGTCAAGGCTTGGTGTCCTTTGCAGGCAAGGGTTCTTCTAGGATGCGTGTGGGGAGGCAGGCATCGGAAGGAATGACAGCAGTTAAGCCTACAACACTAGTAAACATTATTTAAAACTGAGTTGACTTTGAATAAAGAGCATGAGAAGAGAATCACAGAATGTTCAAGGTTGGAAGGGAGCTCTGGAGATCATCTAGTCCAACCTTCCTGCTCAAGCAGGGACACCCAGAGAATGTGGCACCTGGAGAGTTCACCAGGAGAACCCTTCTGAACATGGATCTGTCCCATTTAAACATTTCTAGGACGCTCTCTGAGGCAGCAGATGTAACTGAACACCAAAAATTAGTCTTGAGAGATTTGTTTGGAGGTTGACAACTCCTTTTCTTAAAACAGGAGAATTTGGGCAGAAGGAAAATAAAATGACACTAGGTAGACATGGTGGCCAGAATTGGTTGCATGAGAGTGTTGCTGAAAAATAGATTTTTATGCTGTAAAAATGATGAGCACTGCCCAAAAGACATTTCATGTGGAGAAACTCCTGATTCCTTTTTTTTTTTTCTATAAGTGTTTATCAGGGTTATTGCATGATTAGGTAGTGTATTGGTGAAGCTTCCAATATCTTAATTAAAAACTCCTAATGTTACTTAGACAGATAACTGCATTCAGAGAATTGACGTGTTTCTTAAACAAAAAAACAGTGTGTTTCAAGCAACCTAGCAGAAAGTTAGGAAAATAGACAGTCMTCCTGCTGCTGCAATTTCTTTCTCAAACTCCTCACTTAAGCCCTAGATTGGTAAACCTGCATGCAAAATCAGAGGGGAAGGAGGGGAGAGAAAAGAAGCGGCAAGATTATGATTTAGGTGTTTCCAACAGGATTTGGTTATTTTTGGTTGGGTTTGCTGTGGTTGCTTTACAGACATAGATGAATGCGCCCTGTCGCAGAACAACTGCACGAGGGGGACCACGTGCGTCAACACAGGAGGGGGCTTTCAGTGTGTCAGCTCAGAGTGCCCCCAGTCCAGCGGCAATATCASCTATGTGAAAACATCACCCTTGTAAGTATGATGGGAGGAGAAGAGGAGCAGATCTGGGATGGTGTTTAGGAATGATGTGCAACCTGGACTACTGAGTTTTTAGGTCTGAGCGCTTTGATTTGAGCACCCCTGTGCCTCTCGGGGCTCACCTCAAACCTGTTTTTCCTTCCCTTATCAGCCAGTGTGAACGCAACCCCTGCCCAATGGACAGCAGAGCCTGCCACCACGCACCCAAAACCATCTCTTTCCACTACCTCCCGCTGCCATCGAACCTGATCACTCCCACCCCTCTGTTCCGCATGGCGACCGCCTCCGCGCCCGGCCGGCCGGGGCCGGACAGCCTRCGTTTCGGCATCGTGGGAGGCAACAACAGAGGGCACTTCGTGATGCAACGCTCCGACCGGCAGACCGGGGAGCTCATCCTCGTGCAAAGCCTCAAGGGCCCACAGACGATAGAGGTGGATGTGGACATGTCCGAGTACCTGGACCGTGCTTTCCAGGCAAAGCACCTGTCCAAAATCACGGTCTTCGTGTCTGCRTATGAGTTCTAGAGAAGATGGTGGGTGCCGGACAGAAAGCCTGCAGCTCCCAGCTGGTCCTGCCCACCCACCGCCCTCCTAGCACTCACCAAAAGGAAAGGAACTGTCTTTGTCACCCAATGCCGCCCATGCCCTGGGACAGCACCAGCAAACAGTGACCACAGTAACTCCGCAGAGAACCACAGCCTTCAAAGGCCAGACCAAAGAGAAGGTGCTTGACAGTCTCATAAGCCTGTTTGCTCACAAAGTGATGCTCGCTTTTCTGCATCTTCTGCGACTTGCACAGCCAAAAGACGTAGCGATGGAAGCAGATGTGTTAGAGGGAAGCTCACAATGGTAGCACATCCAGAACCTCTCTGCAGTTATCCATCCTCTCTTCTAGGTTAAGATTCTTTGGTCTAAGCCTCCAAGCTTTTTTTTTTTTTTTTATGCCCACATGCATGAAAAACAGCAAATGATGTGCAAAAGAAATCATGTGCTCTCCAACAGCTCGTCCACTGCAGAAACCTGCCAAACCACGGAGTGGGAATAGCAATGGACTATCCTCTTACTGGGACACAAGAGAAAGATGTCCTCAGCAGGAGGAGTGTATCGCAYGGCCTGTGCCAAGCAGGACTTTTTCTTCTTCCAAGGTTCATAGAGACCTCCCATAGCCTTTGTGCCTACATAGTGCAGAAAACAGTGGATGGAAATTAAGGCCCTTTTTTTCTTTTAGTGCTTCCTTTCAGAAAGCGGTTAAGCTGGTGCAGGCAGGAGGAGAAAGGAGGCAGCACAAGAGAGCTCAATTTTGGTGGATACTGCTCTTCACTGAGCTGGCTTGTTCTTACTTAATATAGCCTTACAAAGCACAACTATGCTCCCCTTTGTATATTGAAAACCTGGCATCAGCTTATGGGGAATTCGAGGTGTTTCAACAAAGCAAAGTGGTCTAATTTTCCCTAGAATAGAACAGGAATTGGATTGGATTGGAAAAATGTCAGTCTGGATTACAGCCCACAACCAACATCTTCAYAGTGCATAGTGCTCTGGTCTCAGGACACTGGAGATGTAAGACACAGTGAGCTGTAGGAGAAAGTGATCTCAGAGGTATTTGGTATAAAGCATATTGCACTTGTAGCCCTCAGCCTATGTAACGCACTCAAGAAGTAAAAATCCATTACAGCCTTTGCTCTCAGACTATTTTCTAAACAGCAATTTTGGAGTGAGACTATGTGAAAATTAAGAAGCCGTTTTCATGCCATGGGTGGAAAGCACATTATCTTACATGGAAGCATGTGTTATTTTACAGCTCTTGAAACCAGTCCTGTTCTCATGTTCTTATAAATTCAAGGTATAACTCTCAGAATCACTGGAGATGCTCAGGGAGGACTTTATCTGGTATGTTTGTACCGAAGTAGTAGGTAAGGGGTTGTCCTTCCTCTTTCATTATGATGGTCCATGGCCTATCAACCCTACAATGATATATCTTGCAATGCACCTACTGCTCTTGGTACCATCTTCAGAAAGAGGTCACCACTGTTAGGTGATGAAGGGCATCTCAGGCAGTTTGGACTTGAGCAAATAGCTTTTATCATCACATGTAAGAAACTGGAAATGGGGCAAAAAGCAATAATTTGTGCAAGGATTGTAAGGACCTAGGCAGACAGAGTGGTGAGTAAGAATGAGAAGCATCAGTTTGTAGAAGAGGGGCTCTCAGCCTGAAAAAGCAAGTGCAAATCTTGGTCGATCATTGAAACGCTGCGAGCATACCACAAGAAGAGAAGAGCAAATGTTACTTGACTGGGGGATTTTTTCGCTCTGTGAATTGCTTACAGCTGCACAAAACCCCATGTAGCCACTCATAGAATCATAGAATCATTATGGCTGGAAGAGACCTTCAAGATCATTGAGTCCAGCCTTAAGCCCTTCAACCAAAAGGGATGGTGACTCCACCACTTCCCTGGGCAGCCTGTTCCCATGCTTCACCACTCTTACTCTGTAGAAATTTTTCCTAATATCTAACCTGAATCTTCCCCCTCTCACAACTTGAGGCCATTTCCTCTTATTCTATTTGTAATTACTCTGGACAAGAGATCAACTCCTGCCTCACTACAACCTCCTTTCAGGTAGCTGTAAAGAGTGATAAGGTTCCCCCTGAGCCTCTTCTTCTCCACACTAAAAAACCCCAGCTCCCCACACTGCTCCTCATAAGGTCTGTGCTCCAGCTCTTCCACCAGCTTCGTTGTCCTTCTTTGGACATGCTCCACCACCTCAATGTCCTTCTTGTAGTGAGGGGCCCAAAACTGAACACAATATTTGAGGTGCGGCCTCACCAGCACCGAATACAGGGAGATGATCCCTTTCTTGGTCCTGCTGGCCACACTATTCCTGATACCAGCCAGGCTGCTGTTGTCCCTCTTGGCCACCTGGGCTCACTGCTGACTCATGTTCAGCTGACTGCTGAACATACATTCCACCTTACCTTTATCAACCACGTTTGGTGTTACCTGGACTAGCAAAGAGCGGCCGAAGATGTTGGGACTAGAAGGCATGAGTTGAACGTGTGCTCTGTGCAGTGGAGAGCCTTTTGTCTTGGCACTTTTGGAGGTGGTTGACCCAAGCAATGTTCTCACTCCAAATCATATGCAGGTGGATAGCAAAGTTGCCTATCCCCTTCAAGTGGTTTAAAGAGTTCTTGCTCCACAAAGTAGCCAGCTACAATCTTCCCCTGCCTTTTGTTTGCATGGCAGTGGGCTAAGAGCTTGGCTACAGCTGGTTCCTGCATTTCAGCTCATGGGTAGCAACTTCTTAAACCTCTTTAATGTGGCCACATGCATTTATCCACTCGAGACCACTGGGAAGTCCTTGGTGAGCTTGATTGAATGTGCTGTGCAGCAGGCAGAGGGGAACTATTTCAGCTGCATTTGATACTCACGCTGAGGGAGCTCAAGGTGTGAATATTTCATTTTTAATGAACCACTGCCTCCACTACCAGTTATGGTTAAGCAGCTCTAGGAAACATGAGCTCAGATTGAGCAGTTAAGCTTCTGTTCCTTGTATCTGCAGATATACCAACACGTGCACACAGGGAGGTACCTCTGTCCTATCACCCCTTTGATCCTTAGGTAACCATTCCTCAAGTGCAGAGCTTGTGCATTTTAGCCACAAACACAACATTATGCATGTTTCTTTACTACAATGATTTTAATACAAGCAAATGATGATATAGCCTTTCAGCAGGTGCAGAATAAAGCACTTCATGCGTCTGTGGTTTGCTCCTGCTCCCTGTGTGACTAAGCCATGTGCAGGGTGGCATTTATAGCAAGAGGGTCTGAATGTCTCCAGAACAGCCTTGGAGGCAGTACTAGCCTGGCAGCTGCTTACAAGAGGTCTCACTAGAATCAGAATGGGATTTGGGCTGGGAAGTCTTGGGACAACTGGACTGCTAGAACTGTAACTGGTAAGAAAGGCCTGAGTCAATCAAGACCAGTATCTTGGGTTTCTCTTTGGCGTGAACATGCCCATGTCCCTCTAGAGCCAAAGTGAGGGGTGTTTGCAGCCAGTCCTTTGCCTGTCCTTCCCTTCAGCTACTATCACCAACCTCCCCCAGCTACCAGGCAGGTGCAGCTCGTAGTGCTGTGCTCCTGCTAAAATCATCCCAGCCTGTTCCTGCCCTCCTACCCCAAGACCCCTTCCTGCAGTGTGACTTGCCACCGCTCTTGCAGGCAGCCCTGCCTTCAGCCTTCCTACAGTGACAGTGGCCAGGTTGATTTAACAGGTCAGTCATGGGTCAACTCCTGGTTTTGGGCATGGCCTGGGAGCCTCTGGGGAACCCTTTTTTTCTCCCCTTCTATCTTCAAAGCATCCCAAAAGCTGTGATGCATCCTTCCCATCCAAGAATCCTCCAAGGATGCCAGGAAAGAGCCTGTGCTGCCCAAAGAAGTCTTGGGAAGAGAGGCAAGGCAGCTGGGCAGAGAGACCCCGTGACTTGGTGGGTAGTAGTGTGTGTGCACTGAATGAGTGGGTCCTGAGTTGATACCTGCTCCGAGAGAGACAGTGAGTGGGAAGGGTCCTTGTCAAGGGAGGAGAAGGGACCTTACCCCGGGAAACTGCTATGCCTGGTGAGGAGAGACAAGGGGCYGGATGGCCCTTGAGCTGAGACCCTGCAGTTCAGGAAGAGGCCGAGGGACAGCAGTGAAGAGCTGGAGGCTGCTGCACAGCCAGGCCTCCTCTGCAGTGGTCAGGACTTCCTAGAAAGCAGTGAAAAAGTTGCAGATTGCAGTGAATTCCTGGTAGGACAGCCCTAGATGTCAGGCAGAAAAGTGGGGTCACACAGAAGAAGGAAATTGTTCCAACGACAAAGCCACGTTCCTGAAGGAAAATTCCCTGGCATGGAACCAAACCCACAGTGCAAGTAAGTACAAGAACAGCAGCATCGTTAAAGTAGTGTGGGTGCTTCCTCCACGTGAAGAGATCTGTCCCTCTCGTCTAGACAGATCAAATCAAATGTAGTTCTGCAGTACCAAACATAACAGCAAACTACCACAATTACAGGTCATCGCAATAAGACAGATGCTCAGCCACCAAAACAGATGTGGTTTTGTTTCTGTGCATCTGCAGTATGGCACTGAGATACTTCCATCTAGTATGTTCTCTGGCCTGGGATATGTTCCCATCTATTGGAAGCATTTGTCTGATGGTGCAGATTAGGGCAAATGGTTTTAGCAGCTCTCTATCCATCTGCAAGATGGAGAAAACACCACTTTGCCACTTGGATGAGTCACTTTCTGCTGTCCCTACATCAATGAGCTTTCTAGAAGCTAAAAGCAAAAGAGTGAAGCTGTTGAACAAAAGTCTATCCATTCCTTCTGGGGACTTTTTATCCAGCAGGATATCCAGTGTATGCATAACTGAGGCTGAGCAGTCTGGCCAAGAGTGCAAGTCCTGAGCAGGTCTCTGCCTCGGAGGGACCAACAAGGTCCTTCAGCCATCAGAAACAGGGTACTAGACTAGACATGAGAGGGAAAGAGCAG